TTTTTTTTTTTTTTTTTTTTTTTTTTTATAAATACATTTGAAAGTAGAAAGGTATTCAAAAGAAAAATGTGTCAAAAAGGGAACATTATTTGATTAAACACTAAATTCTCAGAGTCAAAATTCTACAAAATGTTTGACAAACTGCAGGGGGGGGGGATATGTTTAGATACTAGGAATGATAGGGTTTCCATTGTGGAACAAAATTCCCTCATTTTTTCCTCGCATGCTTAGCACTAGTTAAGCAGTGCAAGGTCCACTAGACTTTGTGGCACGAGTGTTGTTGCCTGTGCATGGTGCTTCTGTTTGTTGCAAGTCAGTTCTTTGCCGAAAATAAGGAGAAAACGCCGTGCCTTTTTACCACGTTTTACCTTAACCCAAATCGAGATGTATTTTGCGATAATTTCTTCGTTTTTGTGGACCGTGACGGATTCAAGCAAGGACAATCTCTATCCATCTTGAGCAAACAAGTTTTACTTCGGATTTATTACATTCTGGCTCGAAAGTTCAAAGCGGGACAATGCCTGCAATTCCGAACGGGTAAGGTTAGCCAATTAGAACAGTGGATTTGAGTCACCTCACGAGCTCGTAGGGAGCTAGGAGTCTAATGAAAGTTTTTGCCTTTGGATTCGATAAGCTACTACCTTTTTTTTTTGTTTTTGATTTGCTTGTTTTTCAGGACATAAAAAATAAAGTATTTCTTTCCTGGCTGATTGCACAACGAAGAAAAAAACTACTGAACCTGAAAAACCTTCGCTTTGAGCGCTACCTGGAACTTATTAAAGAACTGGAGATAGCTCCACTGGAAAGCCCGCACACAAAGTGGAACAAGTACAAGTTTAGGCAGTTCAAGATGGGAGTGGAGATCAAGGAGAAGAAGCAGCCATATCTACGGCGTGTATAACGATTGAAATAAACTAGAAATTTTACTTAGGACGTGTTCCTTTTGTAAACGAGGCGGGGGCATCTAAAAATTAAACCTTTTGCAATTGAGAGTAGGGGGGGGGGAAATGATAAAGATCGCGTTTTCGATGTTCGATAAATAAAAACCAAAGTAATTACGTCGGTAAATCAGAGCAAAGGTTGTTATCACGAAGCGAATAAAAACTTCTGCGTCTGAAAATGCACTTAAGCAAGCCTCGTTCTTGTTTCTAACTTTCGTAACCTTCCAAAAACATATATCTGGCTTTCTACCGGCGTTCATCTTGAAATTTCTCTACTGATACCCGAAAGTCGCGCAAACTTGCCTCAACAACTCGCCCTAGATCGCTGTGGTCTGTGAAATTGACCTCGAAGACAGTGTTTACCATCTTGTTCGTTAGTATGAAAGAAAACTACAAACTCTAACCAATCAGAATTTGCGAAAGAATCAACAAAACGGTTGAAAAAATCATTGTAACTTTCATGCAAGAGTGACTTTATTTAACTCGGTTCAAGTCAAGTTTTCATAGAAGTTCCCTCCCTTACGTACCTCCCTAAAGAGGAGGGGGAGTTCGGCTACAGGTACCGTAGGTATCTTGTTTCGCTTTTTTAATATTATCTGGTTTGAGTCTTTGACCCCTCAGATTGTCTGAGATTTCTTTTTCTTTCCCACACTTGAAAATTATACGCAGCAGTAATACAGAATGCAACACAAGGAAATCATCAATGTCTTCATTTAATTCTCTTTTAGTTCATAACCTGAAATGAACGTTTTTGTTACTACTGAATTTATTAGAACGATAAAACAGTAACGAACACCCAGCATGCCAGAAAACATTCGTGATATTCTAACCTATTAGTAATACTTTGTACCATTGAGATATTCCATCAGTGTTCGAGAGAACCATCTTCAGAGCCAGCGGTTTTTCGACGAAGGCTGATTAGTTACAAGTATGATATACTTTTGCATCCCTACAGCACGTACTGAAACTTTCCAACATTTCTGACCATTCTATCAGAGTAATCAACAGTTTCAATTTATTCATTTTTACATGAAATCGTCGTTTAAGGGTCTTAATATTCCCTCTTAACCTTCTTCAACAGTCTTCATTTGGCCAAGAGTTCTTGAATGTAAGGATTATTTCTGGCCAGTACTTGCTCCTTTAATCTTGCCACCTCCTTTGTTGTTTGCTCTTCTGTCATTGACTCAACTGGCAACTTGGCAACTCGACTAAGGAAATCTTTGATAATTTCTTCGCCGTCCTAAGAAGCAGACAAAACCAAAGCAAGATGGCTCATCGGGACCACCAGTGGTACGTTCATTACATTCTTGATTTGTCAGACGAGATAGTATATGAGAATTCGAAAACTACGTTTTTATTGGATTGAGCGCCCTTGGCTCTTATCACATTTTTGGACCTTGAAATTGGGCGTTTATTCGAGACTGCCGCGTAATAACTTTTCCTACCCACAGGCTGCAGTACCTTCAAAGTACTCAGATGCGTCAAGAAGTTAATGTTACGTGCACCTTCAGGGGTGTCTCGCGTGCAAGCGATGTAGCGCGTCCGGTTTAAACTGTAGATATCTAAACCCCTATATCAAATTAAAGCTTATAGGATTGGCTATCAGACTATACCAAAACTTTTGAAAAAAAATGCTCTCAAATTTTGACAGTAGCTAGTTTTACATATAAACAACAAAAACTTGTCTCCGAATTTTTTATTTCTAAATAATTTTTTTCAAGAGCGATTTTTGTACGATCACTCCCCATTTTTTTAATCCTATTTCAACAATGTTCTGTAACTTTTCACTGAAATTGAATATGGCAAATCGCAGACACGCTTTTTTTAGCGCTTTGGCCCCCGAAACGGAGGAACACATTAAATAAGCGAAAAACAAAATTCGCTTTAACATGTAACGTTCAAAAGGCGATTCTGCTATGGGCACATTTTGAGTCAGTGTCTGAGTGTAATAAAACCAAAGCCATGGTACGCTGACGGCTGACTTTAGAATAAAATTAATAAATTAAAAATAAACCAAGAATTTGAAGAGAATTCCAGGGATAAACTGGCAAACTGCTTGAATCTTAAGTCAGTGCGAGCGTCCATGTTTCGATTTCTTTTAATACTACATCTGATTGGTCGAAGAATCGTAGAGTGAAGTAAAGTAAGACCAACACCATTCAGCATAAATTTCAAAACTTAGTTGAAAATTGCTTTACTGGAAAGATGAAGAAAAGTAGGCTCTCGCTCTCAGTAAGCTCTTTACATCTATATGGAACTCTGCATGACACGGGCTACCTGATAATTGATCCGCAGTATTTCCTCCGATCGCGTTTTTTTTACAGCAACCGTCAAAATGACAGATTTTGTCGTACCGGATCGACCCTTTGTTAAAAAGTTTTACAGGCGTTTTTTACCCGACCCGACCCAGACCTCTCTCCCTTTTTCACTCTGTTTTAGCAACTAAAAGCCTGGAACGGGGAAGGGACAAGAGGGACATGATAACCGTTTTTCTTGTACCCACCTGCTTCACCATGCGCCGTCTTTTGGCTGGCGATGCACCCGTGTCAGAGTCTAAAATAAATCAACCATAAAACACGGGTATAAATTAGCGGTGAGGACTGAGGCAAAAGTCAGCAGTAGTTTACATGAATTCATTTCCGCCATAATAGGGTGTATTGATTGAAAGAGGCAAAACTCCGAAAACAGTTGAAAAAATTAATGGAAGACGCTTACAACAATCGACACAAGCGTGGGAAAAAAAGTAGAAAAGCCTCCCGAAAATCTAAACCATCGACCAAGTGACTTCGTGTTTAAATATTCCAGCAACTGAGCTGCTGAGAACTTCTTGACGAGCTTAGTCGCATGTAACTTAGAGCTTAGTTCGTATGTAACAAGGGTTCTGCAAATTACGTGGATCGGCACTCTCTTTGTCAATACCGGTAATATGGATTTTCTTTCCCAAAACATATCTGAAATCCTCAGGATTTCAGTATGCAAAACGCTTAAAATTGAAACATACGGAAAATATAATTCCCATTTTTCATCTAAAGTTCAGTTTAATCGAGTTCGGAATCTAACCATGGTTGTTAAACATCATTCGTTTGGGTACGGAATGGATTGCGTTAGATTACAACCCTCCCATTAAAGGATCCCTTCCAACCACAATACATTGCGCGCGCGATATGTGAAATCCGCCATTTTCTCTGCCATTCGGTATTGGACAAGTCGTGAAGTGGAAAGAAATCCTCGTTCATCCGAGTACATTTGCCTCGCTGAGGTCTTGAATTTCCTCAATCGCGGTCCAAATTTATTGTTCTTTCTATTTGACTAGTTATTTCTTAATTATTTTTTCTGTTTGGGCGCGCAGGGTATTGTGGTTGGAAGGGATCCTTTAAGG